GGAGGAGAGTGGGGCCGGCTTTTGCAAAAGGGGGGGGGGGGGGGGGATCTAATTTTCTAGTCATGAAAAGTATCCCAGTTGTCCTGACCTGGATAGCCCAGGCAAGTCTGATCTGGGAAGCCTAAGCAGGCTGGACTCTGGCAAGTGCTTGAATGGAAGACCTCCAAGGAATACCAGGGCTGTGATGCAGAGGCAGGCAATAATAAGCCACCTCTCTGAATATCCTCCAAGCCCCCAGTAGGGGTCAGTCAGCAGAGGTCACCATGACTTTCAGGTGCGCCCGCGCCCGCACACACACACATACACCCACATGCACATAGAAAAAAATACCCCCTCCCAAATCCCAATTTCGGAGACTGGGCTGCTGGTGCAAGTAGACCACATGTGTAAGAGGTTAGTTATTGCCCTACCCCTGCTCTGGCTTTGAGGCTGTACATTCTGTCTGTCTAAACTACATCTTTTGTGGGAGATCCGCCACCAGATCGCCTGCTGTGGTGTGATACAGATTTCTTGACCTGATTTCTTAACAAAATCTCCTAATCTGTAATGTCGACATGCCTGTTTGCCAGTTCCAGGTTGAGAAATACCTGGAGATTTAGGGGAGTGGAGCCTGAGGAAGGTGGGGTTTGGGAGGGACTTCAGTGGGGTATAACGCCATAGAGTCCACTTTCCAACGTGGCTTTTTCTTCAGGTGAACTGATCTCTGTCGCCTGGAGATCAGTTGCGCTAGTGCGAGATCTCCAGCTACCACCTGGAGGTTGGCAACCTTACAGAGACCAGCAGAACGAAAGACCTTCTACTGACGTCATTGCATGGTGGCAATTTTATTTATTTAGTGCATTTTTATCCCACCCTTCCTCCAAGGAGTTCAGGGAGTACGTGACCCTCTCCATTGTATCCTCTCAACCAGGTGAGGTCGGACAGGCTGAGACAGAGACAGTGTCTGGGTTACCCAGTGAGCTTCAGGGTAGAGTGGGGATTTGAATGTGGATCTCCTTGATCCTAGCCTGACACTCTTAAGTTCTGCACCACTCTGGCTTTAGTGTGGTGAAGTGGGGTGCCAGACTAGAATGCCAATGTCATTGTTCAGTGGTTGCTTTGCTGGCATTTCACTGGTCTGGAATTGTAAGACTGTGATTCAGCTGTGTGTTCTGAAAGCCAGTAACTTTCCAGTTCTGGCAGAGACATGCCCAGGCCCTGGTAGATTGTCAGACTCTGCCCCTCATTTGTCAGGTTTTGTCTTAGCTCTACCTGTCGCTTGCCAAATTCTGTTCTGGCTCCACCCGAGCTGCCAATTACCTTCAGCATCTAGGCTCAACACCTGGCCTCCCCACTTCAGCTCCAGCACTACCTCCTGGCCTGCCTGGCGGACACTGAAACTGGTCAGCTCTAGAGAAATACAAACGGTGTGTGTAAGGGGTCGTCACAAACAGACTGTCATTTTCTGGCTGCTAATTCCTAGGCCCAGCTCCAGCTGAGAGAACCACTCTTACCGGCTGCATCAGTGAGGCTAGAGGGAGAAGCCGCTGCCGCAGCAGCTAGGCATCCATCATTCATGGATCTAGCTCTAGTTGGGAACGCCCCTCCTCCCAGGCCCCTCCTCCCAGCTACTACCTGCTATCAACAAAGAATAAGAGGCAGCAGCCAGATACCCTGTCAGCATGCCTGGCGCAAACTCTTAACTACATTATATTTTAACTGATGTTGGTATAAACTTGCAATAGTTCCATACCTTTGAGTGCCATTTTTTTTTTCTGGCTTGGAAAAAAAAAAAAGCAGGCTGCAAATCTAACCAAAAATATTGTTTGTCAAAAAGAAAAGGCACGCTTCTGTGTAACGAGAGGCAGACGTATTGGATTGCCATCTATTTACATCGTCATCCAATGGCTTAACCATCTGCTCCGTTTTCTTCCTTATTTCTTCGAGCCAACACTTGTGTATAACAGAAGACACTTCAGCTCATTTTGCCGTGGTGGCCCAGAGAGGGCTTTGAATTGGAACCGTGCACTAATCCACTCCGGATAGTGGAAGACAATTCGCCAGCATTCCCTGGCCACTGGAATTTCAGAGATAAAGCTCAGATTATTCTAGGATTTTGAGCCAGGTGTCCTTGAGAAGTTTCCAATACTTAAGGTGTGGGTTTTTTTAAGCTCTTTAGTAATAAAAAAAGGAAGAGCCAGAGGGTAAAAGAGGGTTGCTTATTTTCTGTGAGGTCACCCAAGGGTTAATTTGGTCATAGTAAATGGTTGCTAGAACTTCTGGGGGAATAAGGTTTCATGCTGTTAATGTGGACCTTTCAAAAGTTTTTTTTAATATAAAATATAAATATAAATCATTTCTGTGTGTATGCAACGCCAGTGCGCATTGTAGCAGTTTTCATGTTCGCACGAGGATCGGGAAGAGTCACGTTTGAATCTCCACTGTGCTGTGAGAAATTGCTGGGTGCCCTTCTCAGTCAGTTTGACCTACCTCACAGGGTGGTTATTGTGAGAATAAAGCGGGAAGGGGAACGTGGTGTTATAAACTGCTTTGGATACCCACTGGGGAGAAAAGTAAAGGTAAATGTTTCCCTTGCTCGAAAGCCAGTCGAATCCGCCTCTAGGGATGTGGTGCTCATCTCCGTTTCTAAGCTGAAGAGCCAGCGCTGTCCAAAGACGTTTCTGTGGTCATGTGGCAGGCATGACTCAATGCCAAGGCGCACAGAGCGCTGTTACCTTCCCACCGAAGTGATACCTATTTATCTACTTGCAATTTCTTGCTTTCGAACTGCTAGGTTGGCAGGAGCTGGGACCAGAGACAGGAGCTCACTCTGTCATGCGGCACTCAGGTCTCAAACTGCTGAACTACCGACCTCCCAGTCTGCAGTTCAGCATCTTAACCACTTGAGCCACTGCAAAGTGGACCATAAAAATATACATATATAAACATGCTTTTATGCACATAATGAGGGCTCTTTCCTAAGGTTAATTAATATATTTAGCTAAGAAGGAGAGTTGGTTTTTATATCCCACTTTTTTCTACCCTAAGGAGTCTCAAAGTGGCTTACAATCTCCTTCCCTTCCTCTCCCCACAACAGGCACCTTGTGAGGGAGGTGGGGCTGAGAGAGTTCTGAGAGAACTGTGACTGGCCCAAGGTCTCCCAGCAGGCCTCAACCCAGTTCTCCAGATTAGAGTCCACCATTCTTAATTACTGCACCACGCTGGCACAAGGCCTCATGAGATCGCTTCCAGTGATAAAACAACAGAGCAATAACATGTAAAATGAAATAACAGTAAAGAGATCACCTGAAAATCATAAAACCAGTCAGCAGCAATGACACATAAATAGAACCTGCTGGAATGGAGCTATTGATCAGCAGTAGGCATTTACTTTGCATACAGGTCCCTAGTTCAGCTCCTGTTATTCACTCTGTTCTTTGCCTTTCCATTACAGAAGCACCTGAGGTGTGAAAGCTCACTTTTAATATGCAGCTTTGGTATATAGTGGAGAGTTTCAGACAGAATCTTTATTTCCGTACCAACCACATCCTGTTTAGGGTTGTATCTGACCTCACTGAGGGTGGGATGAGGGGATTTACCAGAGGAAACAGGTCAACTGTGGAAAGTACCAAAAACTTATCTTGAGTTTCATCATGCAGTTCAGTGACTTTCTGTGCTTGAAGCAAACGGCGGTAACAATGGTCACATTCAGAAGAACTGAAAGAGGTCTAAACTTGCAGAGCAGAGGTGGATACATCTGGCAAGCACAGGAAAATCCTGAACACTTCCTCCCAGAGAAACTTTGACTGGAAGTGGCCAGGAGTGAATCTGAGATCTTCTGCAAGTCAAACATGGGCTCTACCACTGAGCCACAATCTCAGGCAAGCTGCTTTCTCAGTCTAACAGCCCCCGTAATAATGTTCACCTACCTTACAAGCCTGTTGTATTATGACACTGTCATGTACGTGAAGTGCTTGGACACTCAAGCGCTATACAAATGCAAGTAAGTTTTGGTGTAGTAGTTAGGAGCACAGACTAATCCGGGAGAGCCGGGTTTGATTCCACAATCCTCCACATGCAGCTGCTGGTGTGACCTTCGGTCAGTCACAGTTCTCTCAGAGCTGATCTCTCAAGAGCAGTTCTCAAAGCGCTCTTTCAGCCCCACCTACCTCACAGCGTGTCTGTTGTGGGGAGGGGAAGGGAAGGAGATTGTAAGCCACTCTGAGTGAAGGCTGGGGTATAAATCCAATCTCTTTCTTCTTGTAGTGTAAAGGCTGGAGGCCTAGCTTCACCTTATTTGCAGATGTGTAATGAAAACCTGAGGGCTGCGGTGGCTCAAGTGGTTAAGACGCTGAACTGTAGACTGGAAGGTCGGTAGTTCGGCAGTTTGAGACCTGAGTGCCGCATGACGGAGAGAGCTCCCATCTCTGGTCCCAGCTCCTGCCAGCCTAGCAGTTCAAAAGCAAGAAATTGCAAGTAGATAAATAGGTACCGCTTCAGTGGGAAGGTAACAGCGTTCCATGTGCCTCGGCATCTAGTCATGCTGGCCACACGACCACAGAAACGTCTTTGGACAGTGCTGGCTCTTCGACTTGGAAATGGAGATGAGCACCACATCACTAGAGTCGGATTCAACTGGCTTTCAAGCAAGGGAAACCTTTACCTAAAGAAAACCTGGGTGGTGGCTTTTTTGAAACAAAAGGGGAAGGGGTCCTTAATCCCTTTCCCCACAAGCTACTTCTTGTTTTGAAAACACCCCCGCCACACAGACCCCAAAGCCCCTTTTCTTACTCAGAGATCAGTGGTTGGGACTTCTTTACTTGCATCTGCATGTAACAAGTCGTAAGGCCCCAAATACCAGAGCAGTAAGTTGGGAAAGTTATGGTCCAGATGTTACAGCAGCCACCCACTCGGCGCAAGCTCTTAAAGAAACGCCTGCTCTCTTGGTCTGATCTTTCATGTAAAATAAAGGACACTGGTCTGCCTCACAGGGCTATTGCAAGGATTGCTTGGACATTTTGAACCCTTGGAATGGACTGTATAAACGCCAGATGCTGTTGTCTGGAGTACCCTTGCAAGTACATCCGATTGCTTAAAGCCTGTAAGGGAATGAGCATCCCACCTCCAACTGAAGTGCATGAGGTAGCAAATGTCGAGGAGGAGATTGGATTTATACCCCGCCCTTCACTACCCAAAGGTGTCTCAGAGCAGCTTACAAACTTCTTTCCCTTCCCCTCCCCACAACAGACACCCTGTGAGGTAGGTGGGTCTGAGAGAGCTCTGACAGAAACTGCTTTTTTTCAAGAACAGCTCTTATCAGAACTATATCTTGCCCAAGGTCATCCAGCCAGATGCAAGTGGAGGAGTGGGGAATCAAACCCGGTTCTCCCAGATTAGAGTCCACGCATTTAACCACTACACCAAACTGGCATGCACATGGAGCTAGATAAAGGCAATTATCTTCTGCTATTTTCCTGTCTCTCATTCCACAGCACCATTTCCCACATTCTGATAGCAAAGATGTATGTATATTGGAAGCACATCTCATTCTTACACCCCAAAATCTTTTCTTTTAGATTAAGGTTTAACATACACACACAAGTCTACCACCTTCAGTCACTCTTTTATTATACCTCCTACTTGGAAACAAGTGGAGTGTATTGACTCACACATAGACACAACAGGCAGCCCCCACTTCAAGCAGGAAATCTTGCTGCATCTGTGCATTGGGAACAACTGGAAAATTCAGTCACGTCTGGTGCAGCAAAACAACCTTATCAGCCCTGACTTGTGCAGTACAAGGACATCAGGTTAGGGTACTAAATCAATCAGAGATGCATCAGGCAGCCTCCTCTGTGGACAAATACTTTGATTACTTGATCTATTCATTTCTTCTACCCATTTTCTCACAGAACACTGCTTTGCCCTAGTCTGCAGTTTCAGTATGACTGTTCTGAAATCCCAAACACTGCACCCATCTCACATCATTCAGAGGAGCAAGTTTAGTCATTACAGTATTAGTCACAATAGCTGGGTCCAGCAGGGAAAGCTGGTTAGATTTATTTTCTGTTCCACTGTGCCTTGTGGAATGCGGTCAACCATTTAATAGCCTAGAGGGCTATTTTGGGTTCTGCAAAGTCAGATTGGAAACCAATTCATTTGAGAGTGTTATCTTGGTTTTAAAAGTCAATAAAATGAACACTGTGGAGGTTTTAAAGAGAGAGATGACTTACGGTACCCTCAGGTATGGGTTTTATGAGTCCAGGGGAACCACAGTTTGCACATTTTATTGCTCTCGTATAAATAATTCTGAATAAAGTGAAGCCTGGAGGACATGGAAGCACCATTAGCCCTGATTACAGTGATTGCCATGTGAACCAAAATGGAGGAGAAGGAAACCCTGCGGGGGGTGGGGGGGCAGGAACCTGCTGTATTCTCCTCACTGCCTCCTATAATCCCACCGAATTCAAAGGAGGCGTGAAATTGACTAGACCAGATCTCAAACAGCTTGTGGTCTAGTCAATATTACACCCTTTCTTAAATGGTTATAGGACTACGTATGTATCTGTTGCTTCATGCAGCCAACAAAAACAACTTAAAACTGCTTTAAAAATATTTCCAGAAGTTGGTTGCCTAGGGGGGAAATGTTGCCCATCTAGGTACTATCCATGACACACATGCTCCCCTGTCCTTTTCTAAATGTAATGGTTGTAGGTTGCTGTAATGTATCCAGTCCAGACAAGTCCAGAGACAAACGCAGAGCTTCGCTCCAAGAGACAATGGACTATGCGGATCCTAGCCCGCTCCAATCAGGGGGCTAGGTTCCCGGCCCAGAGCCTATGGGACTCTTGGCCACTGTAAATAACCTATAGGGAAGTAGGGGTGTGTTTTGGGTGGTGGTTTCTCGGGGGATATAAGCCAGCCTGCGAGCCGGCCAAAGTCGTCTTGTTCCTAATCGAATAAAGTACACTTTGCTGAAATCACTCTCCCTTTGCGTACTTTTCAGTTGCTTTGTAAAGTCCCAGCAAATATAAAATGCAAAGTACAACAGAAGATATGTTTTGTGGTTCAATAGTTAACACGTGTTGGACTAGGATGGGGGGAAACCTTTCATATCCCCATCTCTGCAGTGACTGAACTTGGACCAGTCTGTGTCTCTCATTCTAAACATGCTCTTTTTACATTGTTAAATTTTACAATCTGCTCTGGGTGAGAAAGGTGGACTGTAAATAAACTAATAAATGTGCTCACATATTTGTGAGGACAAAAAGGGGAAGAAAACAACCACACATGAATTCATTGCAAGAGGGGAAGAATAACAATCTAATAATATTTCCAAGTGGTCAGCTGTGTTAGTCCGAAGCAGTCGAACAGATTTAGAGTCCAGTGGCACCTTTAAGATCAACAAAGGTTTATTCAAGGTCATACCTTGAATAATAAACAATAAAATAATAATAATAATAATAAATAAATAAAACGTTTATTCAAGCTCATACCTCGAATAAACCTTTGTTGGTCTTAAAGGTGCCACTGCAATCTAATAACAGAGACAGAAGGAAAGTAGATTGAGTTGCTATGAGTTCTTTTTGGTTGATTATTGCAGTCTCTGTTTAAACAAATGTCAAATTTAGTGTCTGATATGAAACATTTACACTGCATCTCACTACTGTATATGCATACAGTTCCATTTCATCTCACCTGTCTCCAAACACCTTTGTCATCTTGTAAGTCTGGTTCTCACGATATACATAAAAAAACTTTCCAAAAAGCTAGACATTTCAAGGATTTTCTGGCAAATATGTTATTACAGATGTGGACAGATTCTAATCTAATTCATTTATTTACGGTTAACAACCATTAGCAACCATTTACATATAGTTAATACAGTCCTAAATAAAACGATTAGATTCCAACATATAGGGAGTTAGATATAGTAAATACATAATACCATTTAAAATATACATTAAAATAATTAAAACCATTAAGATCATACCAAAAGGAAAGGAAGTAGACCCCTATGTACGTATGGCTCTGTTACTTAGTATGGAACTTTATCACATAAACACAAAACTTAGCTATTTTCATGTGATAATTGGGTTCTCATCTATTAAAAGTTTCTCCAAACAAGCCTTATCTGAGAAAGCTGTTGGTCTCTCTAATAGGGGAGAAATGCGGACAGGTTTGGCTTTCCTGGTTAAATCAGCTAAGATCATCACAGATGGTCAGGAAGAACTGCAGAAAACACACACTGTAGGGATCTTTGCTTGGTTCAAAGGCTGCTTGCAGGAGTTCTCTGGTAGCTTAACATCCACTGATTAACAGATCATCTGCAAATTCCTCCATTGTATCTACAAAATCTTGACAGGAATCACAGGATGAAGCAGAAGGCCACCACTCAATCCATGTCATGCCATCTAAGGGATATTGGTACCTACAAAGACAGAAGAAAAATGTGCAAGTTAGGAAAGGGGAAAATGCAATCACTCAGACATACAATGTAGAACTTGTGCCTTTCCCCCCCTGTGGACAATAGCAATGTGAAAGATCCGGAGTGAGAACTGAGAAATTTAGGGCAGAACTACATGTTCTAAGAAACACCAAACTGCTGCTGAAAATAGCAACCTTGTGTCAAGTTCCCCACCACAAAAACTGGGTAAAAATGTACCCAGTGTCCTGTCATCTTCATTACAACAGGGGCCTAACTACACTGTACAGGGGTCCACCACAGTCCTGTTAAACCAGACGTGCACTGAGAGTTCCAGGTCTGGATTTCCCAGTGATTTCTGAAATTTTATTTTCAGGTGCGTGGGGGCCCAGTTCAGATTGGGACTGTGGTACAAAGGGGGGGGGGTAAGCTTTGCCCTCCTGTGCTGTTTTCCTAACCTGAAGTTACTATTTACTAGGGAAATCTACACATAGACCATCAGTACACATCAGTTTCCTCTATGGGGCAAATAGTAGCTCCCTGGGGGCCATTTCAAGTGGCATGCTGTTCTGATCTGTATCAGGCCCCCATGAGACTGAGAATTATGTTTCAACAAAGAACTGGTTTGATAGAACCTGGGGCAGATCCACAAACTGTTTAACTTGTAGTTAGGCCCTCTGAGCATTTCTTCACCCCTAAAAACAGCAGCCAGTGATACTGTGTGGGGAAGGCAGAGCAAAACTATGCAAGGATATGGAGTAAATTGTACTATATGGAGAAGCAGAAGTTGGAACGGAGCTGCTGTTTTTGGCCACAACTCCAGGCTTCTTACATTACATAATGCCCTTGATGAGGGAGTTTTTATCTCTTCCATTCCCCATGATCTGATAGTCTTCTTGGAGAAATTGGCACTGTTCCATAAAACACCTTGAAAATAACATGACATACCTTGGCAGTCTTAAAAATCATATTACCACCACAATTCAACATGTTGGTGTAACAATTTTAAATCCAACTGATTTATCAGACGCCTCCCCCCCCCATCTAAAAGAGCCATTGCTGGTAGCCCACAAAGGCTAAGCTAGAAGCATTTCCCCAGATGTGCTAGTTTTCTACCTGCAGGGATGGTTTTTAATAAAGAGCAACTCATCACCTACAGTACAAAGTGGTGTAGTCCCAGAAGGATTCCACTCCATGATTTGGCTGAATGTGCCTCTTGCTAAACTTATGTAATTAATTTGTTTAGGGGATTTATACGCCAACTCTCCAGTCCTGCTCAAGGTGGCTCACAAATAAAGAACCATACCATAAAATCATAAGACATCATAAATGACCAATATAGACACAGAACAACCCATTAAAACCACAGTTAAAATGCTTTGAGTGCAGTTTCGTGGAGAAAGACAGTCTAAATGTACGTTTAAAAATAACTTAATTTTTAAGATTTGAAAGGAAAGGAAATCTGATTCCAGGCGATACAATCAGAGACATGCAGATCAGAAATGCAGCATCACAAGTACTGAATGAATGGGTACAGCCTCTTGCACAATCGCCACTGAAATGAACGGGACTAGTAAGAGCACAGACAGCCTCTTCTCACCACAGCCATTGCTTTGCAGGGAGTCTGTGCAGAAGTTCCTTGTGTCTCGTGCCAATGCCCTGGGAAAGGGCTAATAGAATACGCTCAACGAGCGGTTGCTTGCTTACTTGATACTTGCTCCATGTCCTGTTTTCAAGGCCTCTTTCCCCATGACCAAGTAGTTTTCTCCTAGGTTGAGCTGAACATCATTACAGGTCTTCTTTTTAATAAAGACAATTCCTTCATTCTTCTGAGCAAAAGCCTCCCCTTGGAAATGGAATGAATACAGATTAGGAGGAAACCCAAAAGTTAGCTAGTCCAACCAGCTTCTGCAAGGCAGGACTGTTCCGTCCACCACAGCCTCCTCGTGCCCACAAACCGACCTGGTCAGGCCCACCCACTAAAGAAAGGAATTGCCACAAGTGGAGAGAAGGCGCGATGCTTAAAAGGTGCTTAGGGGACAAACCGCTGCGCGTGCCTCATGCAAGCAAGCCAAGCTGCACAGAGTAGCAAAAGGTAACATGATTTTTGAATGTCCCCCATCACTTGATATTAGCTATGACAAGCCAAATGGGAGCATCCAGAATTAACCACAGGATTAACCTGGAGACAAAATAACTGTTACAGTGATATTCCCTGCCCAGGCCTCCTATCTACCTGTGCAGGGCAGGAATTGCAAGCCTCCAGCTCCAATTTCCTGCCCCCAAGGAACTGAAGAGCGGGGGGAAATGGCCTGCATGTAGTGACACTCTAAGAATTTCCCCTAGTCTCTATGGTACAAACCAGAGAGATTAGGGGAGGCAGCCTGGAGCATCACCCAGAAGTGTCATCACATCCTCTCCAAACTCCACCCTCCCCAGGCACCACCTCCAAAATCTTTTACCATTTGCTCAGGTAGTGTTGGTAAACCCAGCCCCGCCTTTCAGTCAGTGTTGGAGACAAGATAACTGGACCACATGGACCCTTGGCCTGATCCAACGAGGCAATCCTTATGATCTTATATAGATGGAATAATCCACTGTAAAACAGCAAATGCTCTCACCCCTTTTATAGAGATCCAGTAGAGTTGCAGAATATTTCACAAAGCTGCCTTCTTCACTGGAGGACAAGATGTTTACTTTATAGACTAGAGGGTTGGGGGAGACAATATGCATTAATGACAGGTTCTGGGGAAAAACGCTTCATTCTTAAATCAGCTGGGGGGGAAGCACTGCTATTCTCTGAGCAAAGATGGGTGTGTGTTTTTGACTTCTGTGATCATGACCTCAGGCCTGGATCATCTGCCCAGAAGGTTTCACAGTCCCTCAACCCAGTGAAAGAAACGGAATACTTAAAGGCTCCTGTGAGCCCAGAGCATCCATCCACTGCTCACTGTGTCTCTGCACGAGTTGCCGGTCTGTCCCCTTCCAATCAGCCTTGCTGGGTCTTTGCATTGTGCATTCTGGGATCAGTCATTCACTTCCAATGGATAGGTGCAATACAATTAACGCACACACCCCGCCCCAAGAAGGCACACTCAGAACAGTGACTTGCAAAGTAAGACAGAGTGGTGGGCCATGCTGAGGGCTTGCCCACTTTTAAAGCAAACTTTTGAGAGTTGTAAGGGCAAAATGTAACCTTCCATTAATATTTTTTTTTAAGTAAAGAGCAACTCAGCTATAAGAAACTTGGGAAATACTTCCAAGCTTCCATGAAACCTCGATTCTGAGAGGGAAAGAATTCTTCAAGGACCTTATTAAAAAGGACAACAGACTCCAAAACAGGGATGAGTGGCTCAGAGTTTTGGATGACTGGTCTGGGTTGGCCCATCCAAAGCCATATGAGGTTATCATAGGAGAAGGCAGAGGCCACAGTCTGAAGCAATGGAACAATGCTGCAATACACAGCTAGAGCAAGGCTCTTCGAAGTCCCCTGTATCTCTGCTTGAGACATTAAATTCTTCTGAGCCCATTGACTTCAATGACCTTAGAGGGCTGTAATGCTGCTTAGGACTCTACTGTTAGAGAAGTACTAGCTCAGTTGGACTTTGGGCCGGGTCTGACCAACATCTGCCTTCCCTGGGAGCTCTCCCAGGTCCTGCAGAAGCTGACCCCACTACTCTTAACTATTAAGAAAGATAGTTTTACACATTAGTCTCCTTCTTTGACATATTTATTGCCCCCGGGGGTCATTTCGTAGAAAAAGAGGTGCAGGAGCTCATTAGCATAACATATTAGCATAACTTATTTGCATATGCCACACCCCCTGACATCACCAGAAGTGTGTCAGAAGGCAACACCCACCGCTCAGGCTCCACTGGACTGTTTTGGATTGCTAGCTATTGGCCGGGGGGGGGGGGGGAACATGCAGATTTGGCCTCACAGAGGAGGGAGAGCTTGTACTTGAATAAAACTTGGCCTTAAAGGTGCCACTGGACTGTTTTGGATTGCTAGCTATGGGGGGGCATGCAGATCTGCTCTCAAAGAGGAGGGAGAGCTTGTACCTGAAGGTGGGCTGCAGGGGTGGCTCTGCAACTTACCTGGCTGCTTCTTGCTCCTCGTGGCCCGACTGAGGGCTGTTGGGAGCAGGGGGTTGCATGTGCCCGCCCTCTGAGCTCCTTACTGCCGGAGCTCCGCTTCTGTGCGCTCCTGCAGGAAATGACCCCTGATTGCCCCACTGTTTTCCCCCCCATAATTAAAACCAAACATATTGTGACCTATAAACTTAGCTTGTTATTGCTATTCAGTCTTTGCCTATATCAAAACATCTTCATTAAGTTGTATGCTAATTTGCTGTTCATCCATGTATATGAAACGTTAACTTCCATTTCCATGTATCTGAGGAAGTGTGTGCACACGAAAGCTCATACCTTGAATAAACCTTCATGGGTCTTAAAGGTGCTGCTGGACTCTAAATCTGTTCTCCCGCTACCTGCTGTTTCTGCTCAAATCCAGCCCTTTCCAGTCCCTCCACGAGCTGAGCCTAGCTAGAACAGAACAGTTGCAGGGCATAGAGAGCCCCTCCTCATGAGGCCGGAAAGTGAAATTAAGCTGAATGGCCAAATCGGGGAAATGTGCCTTAGAATTTTCTTAAGCACTTCCTGCACCCGCTGAAAGCTGCAAAGAGCAACAACATGTCAAGAGTTTACCAGTAGTAGCTGCCAGGGGTCATTTCCTGCAGGAGCGCACAGGAGCGGAGCTCTGGCAGTAAAGAGCCCAGGGGGTGGGCACATGCAAAAAGACCCACTCCCTGCTCCCAGCAGCCCTCAGTCAGAGCAAGAAGCAGCCAGGTAAGCTGCAGAGCCCCCCCCCCCCAGCTCCCCGGTCTAAAACAATCCAGTGGCACCTTTAAGACCAAGTTTTATTCAGGTACAAGCTCTCCCTCCTCTGTGAGGGACTCCAGGAGAGGGGAGCATCCGCGCACTTCACCACGACACCAAACTGGCTCTCACGTGGAGCCTGAGCGGTGGGTGTTGCCTTCTGACGCACGTCCGGTGATGTCAGGGGGTGTGGCATATGCAAATAAGTTATGCTAATGAGTTATTCTAATGAGGTCCTGCACCTCTTTTTCTACAAAATGACCCCTGGTAGCTGCCAACCTTGCCACTGCCAGCCTGTGGCCTCTCTGTAGAGCTTGAATTGCATGTGTCTGTGTTGTTTGTTTCTGGTTCCAACCCTGCCTCCACAGCCTCCCTAGTGGAGGCAGCAGTGAAGAAGTTGCTTTGCCTGCACCTCTAGTTCCACAACAGACATATTCCGATCTGCTTCACAGCTTTCTGCACCTAGTATATTCTCCTAGTCCCACTCTTACCGTAGGCAATGTCATTCTGGCAAGCAGCTTTGCTTCTGGTCTGAACGTTAATGGAAGGATCCAGTCTGTTCTGCATGCGCCCACATTCCGCTGTGTTTGACGAGACAGAAAAGCAATGAAAGCAATGAAAAAATCTTCTGAGCTCCGTGCAGCCATAAACCTCATTAGAAAGGGAATACTCTTGCCCTTAACACTACAATCCTAAACTGAGTGGTACACTTCTAAGACCATTGACTTCAATGGACTTAGAAGGGAGGCAGCTCTGCCCAGGATTGTGCTGTTATAGCCTAACTTCCTGCACAGGGTTTTTATAAGGGGGTCATCTTGACCATCTTGGGGGGGGGGAAGAGGATACATATCAACATCTAGTGGTGCAGGGTTCTGCTGTTTCCCTTGGTCTTGCTGCCAGCCCTATAAAGAGGACAGAGTATCTAGAGCAGTGTGGGGCCGGTGGATGCCACGGCGCCTGCCAACACTGTTCCTAGTGCCTGCCAAATCTTTTCTAGGAAATAGGTGGGGCCAGGTGAGGCTTTTGTCCAGCAAGGCTTCTGGTTGGCCATTGGTGATTTGATTGGCTTTGCAGATTTTTAAAATACGTTACTTTGTCAACAGCTGCCACCACAGCACAAGGATCGTCACTGTGAGATTGAAGGTAAGCTGGGAGAGCCATTTTGTCTCTGGCTCAGGGACACAGCCATGGGGACATTTGGGGGCAATGCCCCCACAGATAAGAACTACCCTCCCCCCATGTGTGGGGTTTCCAAAATGACTCTGGGCACAGTCAAGGAAGCCGAGAAATAAACAGGTTTTTAAAAATGCAAATAGAATAAAAGAGAGAGAGTCGGAGATCCCCCCCCCCTCGGCTCACACAGAAAAGCAGCCCAGAATTGAGTCTCTCCAATCGAAAGGACTAGAGGAGGACTAGGGGCTACAGCACAGCTAGAGCTGCTGCTTTTGCTGCTGCAAGAAGAGCAGCAGGCACAGCCAGGGCACCCTGCCAGATTTCCCCACCAACAAACATTTTCTGGCTACGCCCCTGCTCTGGTTGTACCTCCTGCAGCAGCCATTTTGTGGCTGCACCCACCATACTGTGTCAGAAGTCCAAAGGTGCCCAGAGGCTCAAAAATGTCGGAGACCCCTGATCTGTAGGGTTGGGAAGAAGGATGGAACACCCACACCCTGCCCACTGCCTGTGCAGATCTCAAACAGAATCTGGGCCACACTGTCATCAGTGACCAGGCAACCTCTGATGCTGTGGGGCTGATCATGCAGCCTCCCTTAAAGGGGGCGGGAGTGCTATTTCCACTTGGCCACTGAAGAAGAAAATTGGCAGCAGCCAAGACATCCGGTGGGCTAGGAAGGAGAATGGACATATCATACCCACTCACACCCTATTAATGCCTTCCTCCACTGAAACTGATTTGCTTTAATATTCTGATTGTGGATTGTTTAAATTTGACTTGATTGTCAATTGCTTTGGGAGCTGAAAGGTGTCTTGCAAATACAGCAAATAAATAAGCACAGGCAGAACGTACAAAGGCTATGACTTTGTGCCTGGCTGAAAACACACGTGCTTTCCAAGGGTCAGGGTCTCTGATCCAATTCTGGCATCTCCAGTTAAAGGATCAAGTGGCAGGCATTGGGGTAAACTTCTCCACTGGAGAGACTGACATTGGAGCAGCTACTATTCAGTCTGACAGCCCATTGGCCTGATTGAGTTAGATAAGTTATGCTTTCCTCCTGGCAAGTGTAGCCACGTTGCAACTGGATGTTGAACTGCCCTGGAAGGCATCCAATATCGTTAGCTAGCCAATGCTGCAACTCCTTTGTGTGTGTGTGTGTGTGTGTGTGTGTGTGTGTGTGTGTGTGTGTGTGTAAGAGTTGGTTTTTATTGTGACAGAATCCAAGATGAACTATATATATATATTTTAGTAGCTTACCCACAACAAACCTGGAGGTAAAGACAGGAAGAAGGCAGAGGACAGAAGTAATCTTTTAATACAAATGTATGGCTAGTGAGAAAAGCACTAAAAAGGTTTGGCTGACATTTTTATTTGATTACAGTCATCTCAAAAGGGTACAGAGAAAAACTGCCCTTAGCGATAGGAAGCACTTTCACACTGAAACAATAAGACAGGCTATGCGAATGGTACAGTACGGATTTCTGAACTGAAATGAATAAATAAGCAGTTTTTAAAGATGGAAAAGACAATGGCTGCAATCTTAAAGGAGACTTTTAAAAGGGAATAAGCCTCGTTATTCATTTGTTTCAAAGGGCGTGCGTCATTATCATGCATCAATGGAATGCTGATCTCCCCCCCCCCCCATTCTTTTCCCCTCTTGCACTCCCTTTTGACCCTCAGTTTCAGGCGTGTGGCATGCTGGTCTGTAAAGAGCAAGATTCAAGTCCAGTAGGACCTTAAAGACCAACAAAATTTCCAGGTATAAGTTTCAGGAGCCAAAGCTCCCTTCATCAGATGAGCATGTGATGGAGCTTTGACTCTTGAAAGTTTATACCACTGAAATCTATTTTTTTTAAATTATTTTGAACTTTTTGAAAGAATGCAGAATAAAGAAAAGGGTAAGGGGGAAAAAAGGTAAAATTACCAAAACACAGTATAAAGGGCATTTTTTGCAAATATAAAGGACAATCCTTGATTCAAATACTTGTAGACCACTGAAGTGTTGGTCTTTAAGGTGCTACCAGATTCAAATTTTGACACACACCCCAGAATTATTATTTGTGGGGTTGCAGGTCCCAAGTAGATGAAAAGGTGTAAAGGTGGAGAGGGGCTGCATTGAGGAGGGGGAAGTGTGAAAAATGGTCCCTCTTATCTCCTCGGTCAGCAGCTCTTCGTCCACGTGGGGCTTGAGTCTCTAGGAATGATCTTTTCCAGGGACTGGTAAGGGACTTCAGGGAACAGAAGAAGGGAGGGAAACTCAGCAAGCCTTCCATCGGTGCTTTGCAAGATACAAGCCAAGTTGTCTACTCTGCCTTTTGATCAAATGATCTTTCAGGGGGCTTACAACAGATCAAAATAATAGCGTCTTTCCCCTCACATCTGTGCAGTCTATGCACAACTTGCAACTAGAGCAGAATTCTCTCCTGAAGGAAATGTGTGTGTGGGGGGGTTTAAACTCTTTGCAGCTGCTTATCCCCTGGCCATTGGCTGGGGCTGGACTGCCACCCCCTTTCTCATGATGGTCCTCCCATGGGTCCATGGGTCACTGGCTAACAACATGGGTGGAGCATCCTTCCCTTCACAACTGAAAGCTCAGTGGAATATGCTTCCAAACCAAAACAAGCTTTATCACCAGGGTGGAAGCTTACCTTCCATACATTGGCACTCACTGCCTTCACAGAGTTTTACAAGAGAGTCTTCTCCATATGGATTGTAAAAGATAGTGCACTGTTTGTCTGTGGAAAAGAAAAAGGGAAATGGTTATTTGAAGAAAGCTACCGCATAGTGGTTGGTCCTGCCATAAGCCAGGAAGTGTGAGCAAATACAATCAGGCGCAGAATTCCGTTCAGGATCTGTGTAATCGCTAAAGGGGCTTCTACACTTCCCTCAAATAAACAATCACTAGAAACTGGAAATACCATTCCTGCAGACCATTAAACACAGTGCTGCCTGCTGGGGGCATCTTAGTTCTGCTCTATTTTGGAATGACAGCATCTTTGACATACCCCTTTGCCAAATCTGCTGGCCTGTCTAGAATAGTAAACAACAGACGCCCCCCATGAAGGAGTGGCATGCATCACAATCAGTATTCTGATGCAGGATTGCAGCCACACACAACTTCATGGCTGATTTCGCACTAGAGCTGCCTCGAAGTTGCGCCACCGTTTGCCCTGACACTATCAATTTCACACCTGAAGCTGCGGGGCTGCATTTTGACTCGCAGCTTCGCCCGATTTCCCCCGCAGTTTTGTGATCCTGTTTTTTGAGGAGCACGAAACTGCGGAGGAAATCGGGTGAAGCCACGGGTCAAATGCAGCCACGCGGCTTTGGGTGTGAAATTGACCAATAGTATCGGGGCAAACGGCGGCGCAACATCGAGGCAGCTCTAGTGTGAAATCAGCCCATCTGTGGAAGCGTTTTTGCTCTTTGTCCATGGGAATCAAATAGAGGAAAGGAGCAGGAATAGACTCCTTACCCGGAGCGTGATACTCGTACACGGAGAAGGTTCCAGGGCTTGGCATTCCAACACGGAAAATCTCTGCTACTCGGAACCCGATGCACAGGAACTCACCGGCAGGAATCTGTTAGAATAGTGTGCAAGTTAAGGCGGAACCACATGAGCTGTTTACCCTTTGCACAGTGATCTTGTTTTGCAATCTCCTTGTGTTGAAGGACCCGAAGTTCTGCCAGGCCTTTGGCTGAGGTGCCGGGCACCCATCACAGTTGGCCTCCCTGCTCCCAGTCTGGCTCCCAATCTGCTGAAAGGGCTCACTGAATTCCATCGGTGGCCCTAACAGGTATGGAATTCTTGCTACCTGTATGAATTTTTATTGTTAGTGTTTTAATAGTTTTTAATGTGATTTTATTGTAACAAGTCTTGGACTTGGCTTTTGTGATCTGCCCTGAGCCCGCTCGGGGAGGGCGGAATAAAAATTTCATAAATAAATAAGTTTGTTTAATAGATCAGCTCCCATTACAAGAATACTCCTTTCTCAGAAAGGCTTTGTACCTGCCCATTAAGGGAGGTTGAGACTACAGAGCACATGTTTTTTAGATGTCCGTATTATAAGGAGGCGCGTAATAAAATCACTCCGCTGATTGAACAAATTCCGGGTCTTTCCAAAAAAGCTAGACTCGAGTTTCTTCTATCTGACCGAAACCCCAAAATTACCCACCAAGTAGCCAGTTTCTGTATGGTGATACTCAGATCACGGAAACTCTAAGGTAGCTAGTTAGATATAGTTGTTTGATATTAGATTAAATTTTAATTTGCTTTTAATGTGTCACTGATGTATCTTAAAATCTTGGAATATTGTAAAAGTGTACATCTTGTTGTATGACTGGTCTAAGGACTGTAGAAATAAATTGAATTGAATCAGCTCCCATTCCAGCTGAGGGTTAGCATGAGCTCAGCCCCACTCAAAAAGCAGGTCTGTGGCATTTGTGGGTTGTGTCAAGCTGCCCTTATGACAGAGATGGCGCAGAGCAGAGACCTCTGCATCCCCCAATTTGGTGCAAACATAGAATTTAATACAGAAGACCAAATCCAGCATCTTCAGTGTCTCAGAATGAATGCTACGTATTATAAAAACAAGTTTCTAGTCCTTATGATTGAAAAGCGGGGCTTGTAAGTATGCTGTCATGCTTGCTGAACTCGCAGGAGCTGTGGTAGAGGAAGACTGAGGGTTCAACAAGTGGGGGGACCTGTGAGACAGCCTCCCGCTGTGCTCAGTGGGCCAGCTGCCCACCATCTGAAAGCAATGCCATAACCACCACCCCAACTTGCCTGGCTCATGCTGCAGACAGGGATGGGCTGCAGAAGATCCCCTTCCCGGCTCAAGTGGTAGGGTGTACTGGGCCAGCCCTCAGCGGGTGTCACAGCAAGGACAGCAGAGGGAGGGAGAGTAATCAAGAGTCCAGTCCAGAGTCAGAGGTTCCAGAGAGCAGGTTTGACAAAGTCCAGTCTAGGGTCACGGAGTTCCAGGTAGCAAGTCCAAGTCCAGTCCAAGGTCAGGGTTTCCAGAAAAGCCGGTTGTCAGGTCCAGTCCCAGGTTGCAGAGGTCCAGTAACAGCAAGGTTGGTGGCTCAATAACAAAGTGTATTTGCTACATCCACAAACGGCTGTTTCTCCTGGCTGACTTTATAACTGAGTCTTAACAAGCTACACTCCCAGCCAATTCCTTGGCAGTCGTCCTGAAACTATTCATTCATCTTGTCAGTTGACAGCTGACGACAGGCCATGAGTCTCGCACTCCTTCTCCTTTCCTGCAACTCAGCTCGCCTCTGACAGCGTCAATGCTGCAGGAGTGTGGGTGAGCTGGGTGGGCTGGGAGTGCCTTCTGAAGCCTTATCTACTGCTTCAGAGCTACAAGGCATTGGCTCGGTTTCAGCTGTTAGGCTGTAACTTCTGCTCAGCCCCTAAACTGACCTCTTGTTGCTCTCCTCCTGGCTCAGAGCCAGCTGCAGCTGGCTGTTCAATTACTGGCTGGGGGCCAGCTGCAGGTAGCTTTTCCTCTGCAGAATCTGTGCTGTCACTGAGCACAGACTGACTTATGACATGGGGGCAGCTTCTGCTCCCTCTCTCAGACCTTCCTGTCTGCAGTGATGGGTGGCAGAAGTTCCTGTTCCTTTCCTCCCGTTCATCTGCAGCACCACCACCTCAGCTGGGTAGGGGTATAGCGGCTTCTGCTTCTCCTTCCCACCTGCTGGCCTGCAGGGACCTGGCAGTAGCACGGCATGTATGGGCAGAGGGCAGGAGTGCCTGAGCCAGCACTCCAGCTGTGTCCAAACACCTGGGTTTGGCTTGGTTCTCCTCCTCTGCCCACTGATGGTAAGCTGACATGGTCTGTATGACTGCGGACAATGTTCCTCTATTTTGAGGGGATTTAACCCTCCACTCCATTCTTTTTTTAGGTTTTCAGAATCCTCCAAGGTTGCAGGTGTATCTGTTTGCTCGCTGCATGGCCTTGATCCACAGATCTAAGTATCCATCAATGAGACCATGCTGAGAATTAGCTATAGTGATATGTAGGTGAGGGGAGGGCTACAGTGTCCCACTTTGCCCCTTCCTCTAACCAGCAGAAGTAGAATAAACTTTTGCAACTTAAGCAAATCTGTACGAGTTTGTGTAATTTTATGTACACTGCATAAAACAATCTCTGAGCAGAATTTACTTTGATGTTTAGCTAAGCTGGGCTTCCCAAGCAACTTAAAGTCCAACACAAAGGTACAATAAATGTATTCTAGTGCAGAGTATACACAGTCCGGGCACAAAACTGTTGAAAAATTATCTGCAATTACTGAAGCCTCGTGTGATATGAACGAATGAACTACTGATTACAGTCAAAGCCCAGCTCAAAAGATCACTTAAGATAAAAACGCATGAGTTAGTGGGAGGGACCTACCGAGTCTACTTGTGCCACTACGTGTCCATCTTTTATCTCATAATTTGATATCAGATGATCCACTCCATTTGCAAGCTGATAAAAAGGAGAGAGAGAGAGAGAGAATTCACCAACTGATTTGCAATTATCTAGAAAAAGGGGCCTGATTTTTTTAAAAAAATATTTATTAGTTCAATTTATACCCTGCCCTCCCTGCCGAGGCAGGCTTATTACCTGTACAAACTGTACCGCCCAGTCCAACGGGCACTTTTCTCCTTAGCTGATCTCCAGGTGATTCTGCATCTGGCATTCACTCCACATTTTCTCAACACTGAGGAAAAGGTGCAGCTCAAAACCACAGTCAAATGCCCCCAGGGCAACGCTGTACTGACTGCGAAGTCACCCCTGAATGGCCATGAATCTATGCAGAAAGTACCATAAAACCCGATAATCAAAGAAAGTGAAAGCAGCATGCAGTGTAGAGGAGACCATAAAACCCGATGATCAAAGAAAGTGAAAGCAGCATGCAGTGCAGAGGGGAATTGCTCTTCCAACATGGGTTTGGTAAAACAACAGAGGGGAAAGCCAATTTAAAAAAATGCTTGATCTAAAAAATCACATAGCCTTTTTTTTAAAAAAAATCAGATCTAAACATTCAGACTTTTAAAAAAATCGAAGCCGACCCAAGTTCAAGCAAACAAGCTGCCACCACCATTTCAACTATTATTTAGGCAGCAAAGGGGATGTGCATGTTGGAATGAGAGAGGGGGGGAAAAACCCATAAGCACTGTACTTAAAAAGTTTTGTGTGGCAGGGTTTGTAAGAAATGGTTAACACGGGGAAAGGGGGAACTTGAAGAGAACACGAAGGGCCAGTGCGGTGCAGCGGTTGGGATGATGGGCCAGGACCCGAGGAATCGGGGCTGAAATCCTTATTCTTGCCGGGTGACCTCAGGCCAATCCCTCTCTCCCAGCTGACCTCACAGAGTTCTTGTAAAGACAGAAATGGGGACGGAAGAACCCCGTAAACCACCCTGAAAGGGAGGGGTAAAAATATCTAGATACTGGAAGGAACTGAGTTCAAATCCCTGCTGGTCCATGAAGCATTCCTTGGCAGGTCATAGTGGGCGATTCTGCATTGGCTTTCCCCTCTTTTGTTTTACCAAACCCATGTTGGAACAGAAATTCCCCGCTGCATTGCATGCTGCTTTCACTTTCTTTGATCATTGGGTTTTATGGTATCCTCTACACTGCATGCTGCTTTCACTTTCTTTGATCATCGGGCTTTATGGTAGCCTCCACACCCCATGCCGCTTTCACTTTCTTTGATCATCGGGTTTTATGGTACCTTCTGCATAGATTTATGGCCGTTCAGGGGTGACTTTGCAGTCAGTATGGTGTTGCCCCGGGGTATTTGAATGTGGTTTTGAGATGCACCTTTTCCTCAGTGTTGAGAAAATGTGGAGCGAATGCCAGATGCAGAATCTCCCACTCTCTCGGGGTTGTTAGGAGAATAAAAGAGAACAGCACGATGTGTTCTGCCTTGAGCTCCTTGGAGAAAGTCTGGGATGTCAATGTGATGAATAAAGTAAACTGAAAAGTGTTTGTAAGGAAGACAGCAGCCTCTTTTCTATGGTGCCAACATAGGGGAAGCCCCCGCCCCCACGTGGTGTAAGGACATAATCTTTAGTGCCCCCCTTTCTGGAACCCATGATTTAGTAATCCAGAGTTTGATACTTGCAATAGATAAATCTTCTGTGTTTGCATCCAATCCGCTAACCAATGATATGTCCATCACAGCATGGGAGGAAGCAGATTGTGGTTCTAGCCGGCTAGGCTTGTACCTGTCCAGAGTTTAAATAAAAATTCCAATAGGAAAACAGCTGATTGGATCAAAGTGAGCAAATAACCTTCTTCCGGTGCAGTTTTTCACATGCTTCTAACTTCATTTATAGCACTATAAAACTGACCTCATCTTGGATGGCATTTGCATCAGTGAAATCAACCACAGAATAGAGAATATGCAGGGCTGGTAGTACAGTGATTTCTCAGACTAACTTGGGGGTTCCTTGGAAACAGAGACAGACCACAAGATCACAGAATGGATCACAGGAAAAGAGCTTTTAAAAATCCATTCGTAGTTAATGTATCAGGGGTGAATTTTACTGACTTGGAGCCTTCCATGCTTAAAAAGGGCCTTTCCTTTGTCCCCTACCTTGTACATGATCCATGTGATTTAATGGCAGAACTCTCACACCTATTTAGGAGGATTCAGTCAGTGGATATTTTAAAGGAGGATGGCAGACTTTTGGATTCCCAGGTGACTGGGATCAAACCTATCTTCAAAATAATCACAGAATACGGGCTTTATGGCTTTTCACAAGGACTGCCATTCTTGTAACCAAACTTCAGTGTTATTCAGCTTCTAATGTACATGGAATGAAGTCACTGAATCTGTCTGGTCATTAAAATAGCGGTGTTAGATGTGACCGAGACGTAAAGGACTGCTATAGGGGCTTTTATTGCTTCAGTGCAGTGGTTCCCACCTTTTCTGGTGCCCACCGACTGCTTTTAGGAAGTGGGCGGGGCCAGCAGGGCTTCTAAATGACTACTGGAGATCCGATTGGCTGTGCAATTTTTTTTAATGCTGCTTTAGCAGCCGCCACCACAACAGCACAAGGATTGTCATTGTGTGACTGAAGTTAAGATGCAGAAATTATTTATCCTGTGGCAGCCATTTTGTCGCCGTGCCCACCATGCCATGTCAGAATTCCACAGGTGACCACAGGATCAAAAAGACTGGGGACCCCTGCTTTAATGGCCGCAGCACTGGAATACGAATGGTACGAGGAGAAAGGCTAAAGTTCTTTTAATTGGCATGGACATTCCCACTCTGGCCTCGTGCAGATGTAAAAATTCCCAGTCTCCTAACCAGCACTAGGAGACAAGGAATGAATCATGCACTTGTGTTCCCATCCTCCACAAATTCCCTCCGATTCTTCTTTTTTTGGAGCCAACTCCAATGATGTCTGCATTGCTGTTAATGCTAACAATGATTAACTACATACCAGAGTTTGCAGCCATTGTTTGAAGCGGGTTTGCAAACTGTGGTTAAAATGGTACGTGGATCCAGGTAGTCAGCCATGTTGGTCTGAAGCGGTAGTACAAATTTAGAGTCCAGGGGCACCTTTAAGACCAACAAAGGTTTATTCAAGGTATGAGCTTTCGTGTGCAAGGCACACTTTTTCAAATACATTGGAATGGCAGATGAGGTTCTAAACTTATAGACAGGGATTTAACAGCAAATAATGTGGCAGGGTATGAGTTTTCATGAGTCTGAAGAATTGAGCAGTGACTCATGAAAGCTCCTCCCCTGCCGCGTATTTTGATAGTCTTTAAGGTGCTCCTGGACTCTTGCTCTTTTCTAATGCCTAAAATAAGGCACTTTTTTCCCTGATGTCTTCAACGAGAAATGTATAGCGACAAACTCTTGCTCTTTTCTAATGCCTAAAATAAGGCACTTTTCCCCCCTGATGTCTTCAACGAGAAACGTATAGCGACAAATTCAATCTGGCTTACTTTGCACAGGCCACCAAACGCCTGGGTTCATTAGACTGCCTGTGGTATGAATCATCATCTTCTTCTTCAGCATCTGGAACTGAAGGAATGGATTACAATCAGCTCTTCAACATCAGCTGTCCAGGAAAGTTAGCAAATTGGCTGTTGTACACCCCTGCTCTATATACCCAGCCTAAGAAAATGAACAGGTTCAACAGACTGAGCTTTTAATTTTTTAAAAAATAGAATCCTGTAGTTCAAAGCCGAACTCTAAAAAAGCACTTCCCATCCTCCAAACATCATCATTAAGGCAGTTTACAAAGGGGATTTTTATGTCATTCAAATACAAACGATTACATCAGCGTTCTCTCCTACTGAGCTGTTAAACAGCACTGCTTATCAGCACACAGCAAATAGGCAGCTTTGTTAGAACCACTAGTATTGGGGGAAATTAGCACAGTCAAAGCCAACAGTACCAACTCTCCTCTATGCTATGACTGGGGAGGCTGACAGAGCAGAGGTATGAGTGGGGCACTGGCACTATTGTTGTTTTTGAAGCACCAGTCAAAAATGAGGTCGACAAATGTTCTTACGATCCTACCACTGGCATACAGTCGCTATAGGCTTCTCACCCAAAAATTGTTATGCCAATAAAGGTTGATTTATTGATTGGTTCTCACAAAAATATGGTCAAGACTTCGATGAAACCTTTGCACAAGTGGTGAAACACAGTACAATCAGATTACTTTTGAGCACGGGGCTCTTTTTGTAGAAAAAGCCCAGCAGGAACTCATTAGCATAATAGGCCACACCTGTCCCGCTCCGGGGTCGCGGACGGTGTCCAGCCGGCCCCGGAAGCCCCGACAGCCCACCCGGGAACACGACGAGGCGACTCACCAGCAGACGGGCCAAGCGGCGAAGCAGACCGGCGCGCCCCCCCCTCCGAGCGGGGCGAACAAGCAAAGGAGAGCCCCAGTCGAGCCCGACGGAAGAGCCGAGGCACCGGAGGCTGCGGGCGGGCGTCGGAGCAGAGCGGTGGGAGAGGGCTCCCACCGGGACACCTCGTGGATCCAGCGCGGCGGGGCGGCGGCAGCGGCGCGGCCCACAGGCCCAGGCGGAACGAGGACACGGGGGAACAAAAGGGGGACCCAGAGAGGGCCAGGGAGGAAGGCACGCTTTGAGCAGAAGGCAGAGAGAGAGACCGCTAAACCTGGGAGACTCAGAGAGAACAGGACGAAGGGCTCAAGCACAGCGTGTAGGCAGAGGGGCACTGAGGGGTGCTTCTAACCCCGCCCCCTGCCGATCTGAGGCCACCTCTCCCCCGCGGTTCTCCCGCCGCCGTCCCTCGTTCCGTCCAGCCTACACCCCCTTTTCCGGCTCAACGGGCACTACCTCACGGCGGCCACCGGAGGCGCTGTTCCAAAGGACAAGGGGGACCGTGACAACACCCAACACCAGAAACATATTAGCATATTAGGCCACACCCCTGCCAGCACAGCTCATTAGCACATTAGTGTGGTTATCCAGCCACACACCCACCTTTCCCTTCTTATTCTGTTTACCTTGTTTGTTGTCAAAACTCAGGACTTTTTTTATAGCAGGAGCTCCTTTGCATGTTAGGCCACACCCCCCGAATGTAGCCAATCCTAATGAGTTTCTGATGTTGGGTGTGGCCTATTATGCTAATGAGTTCCTGCTGGGTGTGGCCAACTCGGGAGCCAGCCGGAACTCCATTCCTGTGCGTTCCTGCCCAAAAATAGCCCTGAGCATAGCAGCATCCAAGGGGATGCAGGTTAATCTAGATGTAAAGACAGCATTTCTTCATGGGGAGAGCCAGGAAGATTTGTACGTGGAGCAGCCAGAAGGTTTTATAGACTCCAAACAACCAAATTTAGCCTGCAAACTGCAGAAGGGGCTGTTTGGACTAAAACAGGCAGCATGTGCCTGGAACGAAAAATTACACATAATGCTTATAGCACAAGGCTTCAAGCAAGGAGAAGCAGATTCAGATCTGTACACTAAACACAAGGATGGGCATTGTACTTTTATTCTCCCGTATGTTGATGACTTGATTCTGGGTTATTATGATAGGCAAATAGACTATAACAGTGTGGTAAAGTGCCTAAACAGAGAAGTAGAAATTAAGGAGCTAGGAGATGTTTCTTACTACCTGGACATACAAACTGAAAGGAAGGAAGATGGTTCATTTCTCCTAAACCAGAGACAGAAAATAACTGTGGAAACTGACTTTCTTAAGAACACTGAAATAAGTGAGCTTTTATCTAAATACAACCAGTACAGAAACACCACAGGAAAACTATACCTAAGCACTACTAGTAGACCTGATATTGCAACCAGTGATGGGATCCTTAGTAGAAAGACCTAGCAAGAAAGAGTGGGTTGCAGTAAAAAGGGCGGCTGGATATCTAAAAGGCACTTTAGATTTGAAACTAAAATTGTCCTCCACCAGTAATCCAAAATTAGTTGGCTATGGTGTGTTCTCCCATGTGTCCCGCCTCCCTCTATCTCCCCGTGTTGCCTGTCCTGTGCGTGGGCGTGCAGGGGAGTGCCCACTTCCTGTGCGGACGAGGGGCCTGACGTCAGCTGTCTCTGCGTCTCCGCACACCTGCTAATGGGTAAGTCCGGAACTCTCCACGTCTCTCTCCCTCTAGCTCGGGCCCGTCCCCCTTGTGTTGGCTGCCGAGGGAGGGAGTCCGCGGTGGACCCTTTCCCCAGCTCCGTCTCTTTCAGGCCCCTCCTCCCTCGGGCTCTCCGTTGTCGCTGGGGGAGGGGGTTGAGGTCTCCCAGGTCTTCGGGGCATCCTCCCATCGCCCCGTAGCCTCCGCCTCTGTCGCCTTCGTTGCCTAGGGCTCGTTGAGAGCCCGGCGCGGCTCGCGCCAGTCCCGCCGCAGCTTGCGCCAGTCCCGCCGCAGCGGCCTGTGAGGCTGCGGAGGAGCCCGCGGTGGGACAGTTACATAGATGCAAATTGGGGAAGACACATCTTCGATTATGGCTGAGTCCAGACTGGCAGTTTGAAGCAGGAGGGAGTTGTGGCAAAAAAGACCCAGAACAAACTGTTCTGGGTTTTCCCGGTCATACTGCACCGACTGATGCGGGAGCATACTGGGGAGGAGGTGCAAGGGAGCATTCACACTGTTGGCCCACCCCTGGTGGAGGCACGGCTGTAAAGCACAGCTTTCTTTTTAGTAATCTGGAGATTATGCATAGGTACACAAGAAAAACATGGCTTTTGGCATTCACACTTTGTTGGTGCGGGATGGACACAGGATAATCACGCTCTCCAGGGTTTGATACCAATTTCACCTGGTATTTTTTTAAACTCGGGAGGGAAGGATTACAAGACGGGTTGACTACAGCTAGGGAACGCCTGACAGATGTGCCTGTGTGGACGGCCCCTTTAATCCGTTTGTGAAACGCTTCTGGCTCGTGCCTATATCGGGGCATACTGCCAGTCTGAACTCAGCCTATGAATCTACGAGTGAGTACTTTTTCCTGTATGGAGGTGTACCAATCCCCTGGGCCAGTGGAAAGTAACTTACGGTAAGTCTGTCTTCTACGGAGTCTGAATATATAGCATCTGCTGAAGCATGCAGAGAACTGTTGTGGTTTGACCAGTTATTAAAGAACTTTGGAGCTGATGAGCAAAAGCCAATTCAACTCAAAGAAGACAACCAGGGCTGCATAAAGATCTCTAAACCAGAAAAAAGGGCTGCACGCACTAAGCACATTGGTGTGTGAAGTTTCATTTAGGGTGTGATCTGAGAACAGCATAACAGAGATGGAGTACTGTTCGACAGAAGAGTTCCTGACCAAGCCTCTGTCAAGAGACAGATTTGAAAAACTATGAGATAAATTGAAACTTGAGAACTCTTACATGTGACATTAAGAAGGGCTTTCTGAAGTTAATCTGTTCACAATAAGTTAAATGTACTTACATGAATATGTCATGTAAGACGTGCTTCTATTTTTGTAAGTAAAAATTCTTTCTCTTGTTACCACTGGAGTCATATCATCTTTGTAATTTGTTTGAATAGTGTTTTCCCCTTAACCGGGAAACATGGAGGATTGGGGATACTGCGTAAAGCTTTTGTGCCACCAAGTCAAATGGGTTTTTTTAACATGTAACCCGATAAGCAGAACCTGACACTTCCTTACCATCTGGTAACTTTGCTTCGATCTTCAGCTCAAAGCTACAAGTGTCTTCAGAAGTACTGGTTTTATAATACACGCTCCTCACCTGCACATGTCCAAAAAAGAAATCAAATTTAAATTCCTTTGGCTTCAGAGTTCAAGCACCTATTTTTTAAAAGTTGCCTAAATGCATTCAGATACTGTTGGTGTCTGGATCCATAGTACGGTAACAGACCAGGATGCTATTAACTTACGCTCACTGTTGCTAATCCAGTGTTGCTACCTGTGCGCACCTCTATGTCATCATACAAGGGAGCCTAAAAATGTACGGAAACAATGGAAACTGACATCACTACAGGTCACTGCGATGTGAAGTTAAGCTCTTATAGTTGTGCCAAACTACACAGCACTTTTCAGAAACAAAAGAGCACCTAAAAGCATCCCCCTTATATGTATATAAATTCAAATCGTTTATAGTTAATCCACTCACTTCCACAGGCTTTCCTATGTAATTGGTTTTTGTAACTCTGTGTTGGTGAAAATCCCCATGATTCCTGTAGGACACTTTGACATTCATATCCAGCTCCAACCGTTTAATGAGAATGCAATACTCCGTTAGGGCTTCTAGAGCATTGACCGTATCCTGTTGAATTGATTGAAGACATAAAGACAACATTTTTTTCTTAGAATATATGATTTTATTTATTTAAATCATTACCCACCTTTCTTCCTTATAAAGCTCAGGGTAGCTTGCAAACATAGACAAAACGCATCAAATAAAATACATTAGAAACATAAAACCAAAATATTTATGTCTTTAACTTAATACAGCTTAGCAAGGATGATGGACCTGGTGAAAAGGCTAAAGCGCGCAGATGTGGGAAGCTCAGATTCAAATCCTTGCTGAGCTGCATTAAATTCTCTAGATCGGGGGTGTCAAACATGTGGCCCGGGGGCCGGATCAGGCCGTTGGAGGGCTGCAATCCAGCCCGCAAGGCCCTGGCTGTTTCTCTCAGCTTCCTTTTCCAGTTCTGCTGCTGCTATATCACAGCTTACTTTACCAGACTCTCTCAATTGCACAGAAGAGGTAGATAGGCGAGCCTCTCCTGTGCAATTGAGAGGATCTGGTAAAGCACTGGCATTACATTTTTTATGTTTTATTTAAAGTTTTAAAAATCTTTAACTGTGTTTATCTGTGTCCTTTATAAAGTTTGTATCTCCGCTACCTGGCATTACATTTTATGACACACATGGCCCAGCCCAACAAGTCTCATTTACGTCAGAGCCGGCCCTCATAACAAATGAGTTTGACACCCCTGCTCTAGATGGCTTAGGCAAGTGTCCTCACAGCCCCAGCACACACACACACCCTGCCACCATATATGAAGTATTCTGAACTTGGGAATCCAACAGCACCCATAACTCTGGGTGTGCAATATTTCTTATGCATATATTTGATTCAAATGTATAGCTTAGTTGTCCCCTAAATTCAGGCAGCTTATTTAATGTTCATATTTTATTACACAGCAAAAAAATAATAATGCAACACTAAACTCTTTGGTTCAATTAAGTCATTCAATGGGTTGCTTAGCTTTATATCCCGGGTGCTTTTCTGCTTATGGAAAGGAATCTGTAATGGTAAGAGGCTTTACTTTGGGGACATGGTTTACAGATGTGCAGGTGACAATGTCCTAAAAGGACAAAGTTGTGGAGCCACTTCTCTATGCATTCTGACTAAAAAAAAATGCAACCCAGTTGACTTTTTAGCATGGTGGTTTTGCTTAAATAAAGGAAAAAGGATCAATGCATTGCCGCTTCCTCTCTGCAAATCTTACACCCCTGCCCCTACCTCATTTCTTAAGAACTAGGATTTTACTTCATTAAATCCATTGCAAACCAAATAGAACCATGCTAAAATATGTGAACACACACAACCGGACAGACATTAAACATGCAACCAAAGACCCTATATTTATCTCTGACCACTAAGTGCTGTCTAAACACTACTAGACATCCAGTCTCAGACTTTAACAAGACTCTGGAGAAGGAAATTCCAGAGCTAGAAAGCAGCTGCCAAAAACATATCCTGGCACACCTTCCCCGTTTGGATCTGTATGTACTGAAGGTATTCGTCAGAGGGCTACCAGCTCAGGAGAGGGTCTGCACTAGAGCATGAAGGCAAAGAGATTGCTTCTCATGTACGCTGCTGACCTAAGACGCAGAAGGTATGAATGAAGCTAAACTAACCAAAGACAGCAATAAAGGGATGAGGTGGAAAGTGGATGCAGGTTACGTGGAGGGACCTAACGCAGAATAGAAATACATGCAATTAAGAGGACTTAAGCCCATTGATTTCAAAGTGCTTCTGTTGTATGGTGGTAGAAATACTGCCACTTTCATTGCTCAAAACCAAAACACTGGTTTGTATCTGGAAAGCTAGAAGGAGCCCTAAGCTGAGTCAGGTGCAACATGCAATAAGGCATTCCTACCACCATGTTTCTGCATGGTTTATTTTTAAGTACCTGTGTGGAATAAAAACCTCCACCATATCTTTGCTGTTCCAACAGCCATCTGACGATCGGGTTAGCGTAGGTTTGGTCACCACGCAGCAGAGTGGAGAGCAAAGCGTATGCGGTGGTTTCAACCATCTTAGCGCTGCCGTGAGAAGGAGCACTTCGATCGACTTTGTTGGAAGAATCTTTCCAGAAGCGATACAAAGGGTTCACTAGAAAGGAAGAGAAATGGGCAGGGAGTTAGGGCAGGGGAGAGCAGTGCAGGTAAGAAGCCGTCCAGGCAACTCGTCCCAGGAAGTCTATGGTTTACCACAGAGATACGATAGTTCCAAGGTGTGCGGCATCAACCTAACTCGTGGAACGCTGGTACAAAGTTCACCTCTAGGGTTGCCAGCTCTGGGTTGGAAAATACCTGGTGACTTTGGGGGTAGATCCAGGAGAGGGTGGGGTTTGGGAAGGGGAGGGGCCTCAGCATGGTACAATGCCACAGAGTCCACCCTTCAAAGCAGCCATTTTCTCCAGGGGAGCTGATCTCTGTCAGCTGGAGATCAGTTGTAAAAGCAGGAGATTTCCAGGCCCCACTTGGAGGCTGGCAGCTCTAATCATCTCTGGCAGAGGATCCACCTGACACAGCAGCGCATCTGAGAAGGACATGATTGCCACACACCCTCTAGACTACCATTTTTGTAGATAACTGTTACCCATTTTATCAAGAGGTATTTTTTCTCGACTTCATCCAGTGTTGCCATTGCCAGGGGGCAGGGGGGGGGAATGGCATGGGACCAGCTATCAACTGAAAAACCTTTACCATTCACAAGGGCTTCCCTCTTCAGAGCAGTGTAGGCTGCGCGTGCACCGGCCTGGTTGGATCTTGCAAGAGTCAGTGCATAAGTGACGATTGCCAAGGAAAATGTACTTTGCGCAGACTGGAAGTTCTGCAGCAAGTAATCCTCAGCTTTATTTTTAGCATCCTGGATTTTCTGTCAAGGCAAACAGAAAACATTTGTCATATAGTTAACTCACAGGTTCGGAGCTTTCATTTTCTGTGGCCAAATAATAAGCGAGCCAAGGTATAAATAACAGAGCATTTTAAAATCAAACGGAACTGCAGCAGCCCCGAAGTTTAAATGCAACACAGTGCAGGGCAGTGATACCAGATTTATTTGAGGAGCAGTATAAAAAGAAGACTCTTGAGAGTCCCTTGGACTGCAAGGAGATCAAATCAGTCAATCCTAAAATAAATCAACCCTGACTGTTCCCTGGAAGGCCAGATACTGAAGCTGAAGCTCAAATACTCTGGTCACCAAACGAGAAGGGAGCACTCACTGGAGAAGACCCTGATGCTGGGAAAGATTGAAGGTCAAAGAAGAAGGGGACGGCAAAAGATGAGATGGTTAGACAGTGTCATCTATGACCAGGGGTCTTGTTGTAGAAAAAGAGCTGCCGGAGCTCATTAGCATAACTCATTAGCATAACTTATTTGCATATACCACGCCCCCTGACATCACCGGAAGTGACAGAAGGCCACACACCCTGACATCACCGGAAGTGTGTCAGAAGGCCCGGCTACTTACCCTCCTGCTTCATCCTTATTCCCAAACGGAATGAGGATCGAAGCAGAGGGCGGGGTAAAGAAGGGGGCGGGGCTTCACCACGTGACCGCCCCGCCCCCTAGAGGTTCTCTTCCGGAGCTCCGTACCTGAGCGCTCCCCCCCGACTAGAGCCCTGTCTATGACACAAACATGAAATTGAGCAAGCTTCAGAGGACAGCGGAAGACAGGAGGGGCTGGCGGGATCTGGTCCATGGGCTTGCGAAGAGACGGACTCGACTGTGCGACTGAACAACAACAAATTTAAAAAACGTGACAACAGAGATGCTAATCAGAACAAAGAAGCCTGTGATCACACTCACCTGCAGCGGGCATAAATGGACTGCTTTTTCAATTCCGATCAAAGAGAATGCTGTGAGATACAAAGTCTTTTCTTGCTCTTCTTTAGGCAGCGTACCCTTTTTAAAAAATAACATAATGATGTAACGAAGGACAGGTAAAAATACTGCCCTCAATAAAGAGTTCTTTGTGGAGTGACATGCATACATGTGGAGCTTCTGGACAGGTAAGCTTGACTTCAGTGGGAGAAACAGTTTCCTGTGCCCTTATCTTTGTGTGGGCAAGTCTATCCCTTCCACTGAAGGGAGTCAGTGCCTTCTAGCCACCACAGCCCCTCTGTCCTCCAAAAAAGAGGCCCACACGTGCAACAAAGAGTCCTGGAGCTCACGAAAGAGTAAGGAATGAATTGTGGCTTCAGATTTTATGGCCTAAGCCAGGAGCATCTCACCCCTTCTGAAATCTCTTTCAAGATTCTTAAAACTCTCCGGGGCTTACATGAAGGCTGACACAGCTTTGGTGCAGTCATGTAACCAAACTCAGGCCCAGGTAGGTTCCAATTACTCCCCAGTAACTCACACGAAATGAAACAAAAGAGCTTTGTTGAAAAAAGTCAAGAAAAGTTTCTAAAAACAGAGCATATAGTTCAGTGGAGTCCTAATGCACATAAAACAACAAAACTAACCGGCTGTTCTACTTGATTATTCCTAACAGCAGCAATACTAGTTCTTACAGCTGAAGCATGATGTTCCAGAGCATACACAGAGTATTTTCAGACAGCAAGGGTGGGACAGTGGAGGAAAGGGGATAAAAAGGGGAATGTTCTCTCTACCATAGTCTACACTATATAGGCGTTGCTGGCCATAACCTCCTGACCTCTCCACCACAGGGCAGCCTCCATGGATGAGCTCCTCCCCATACCAGATTCACAGCTGAACTGTCTGAATTAATTAACAGGCTCTCGAGATAACCTTGCCAAGTAACTGTCAGTCTGAAGACAGTTAATCAAAAGCCCCGCCCCACAAATGGCCATGCCAGAAACCTTTTTTTGAAGAGAGACCTGGCAGCAGTAGAGTGAGAGTGCTGCAGCTTCTCTTCAGGTTTTCCCCTCCCTCCCACTGTGGAATTCTGCCGGGGGGGGGGGATCTTGAGACCTGGGAAAAGACAGCTCAGAAGGCATTTAAATGCCTTTTGAGTTACCTTTCACAGGGCAAGAAAGCTTCGAAGGGCACTCAAGAGTGGCACCATCAAAATGTCTCCAACAACCCCCCTTTCTGCAAGCCCAGTTTACCAAAGGCTCATGGGTATGCCTTTGAAAGACTCACCATGACCTAGGTCAGGGGTGTCAAACTCACTTGTTATGAGGGCCGGATCTGACATGAATGAGACCTTGCTGGGCTGGGCCATGTGTGTCATAAAATGTAATGCCAGATAGCGGAGATATAAACTTTATATAAAGGACACAGACAAACACAAAGAATTTTTAAACTTTAAATAAAAGATGCTTAAAACACTAGAACTCTTGCAATCTCCTGCCAACCTAGCAGTTCGCAAGCAAGAAATTACCATTTCAGTGGGAAGGTAACAGCGTTCCGTGCGCCTTGGTGTTTAATCATGCCGGCCACATGACCACAAAAATGTCTTCGGACAGCGCTGGCTCTTCGGCTTTGAAACGGAGATGAGCACCGCAACCCTAGAGTCAGATTCGACGGGCTTGCAAGCAAGGGAACCTTTACCGTTACTCTTGCAATATTTTGTCTATTTAACAGTCTCTGATAACTGACACCCCTTGCTCTGAATTACTGCAACAAAATGTCTGTGCTCTAGCAATCTTGAGTATGCTGCTCAGGTGTGTATCTGTAAGCTGCAAACCTACTTTTGATCTACTGACATTCATTATAGAAATCTCATGCTCAGTATTGTGATCCTAGGACCAAGAAAAAAACATGAAATGGCTGGGCATTGCGAGCTTTTGTACTTAAGTTGCTTTATTTGCTGGTCAAGAATATGAGAAGGCATCCTGACACAGACTTTCCTACAAAGGAAATTTGCTGGGTTAACTTGGCCTGGACACACACTCTCAGCCTAATCCGGCTTGTTGTTATTCCTCCTCTACAATAGTTCACATTGCTTTCTTACTGAGAAAGACTGAATCATGAGGGCATGAATGCAGTGAAAAAGGGGAGGGAACCCAGTTGCACCCAGGAGAGCCCTGGCATAAGGATCTCAACAAAAAAAAAACCACACAGCATAAGGAGCCCAACAGAATACACACACTGTAGCAAGGCCCTTCACTCGGAGTCTCAGAGTGGCTTGCAATCTCCTTCCCTTCCTCTCCCCACAATGGACACCCTGTGAGGTAGGTGGGGCTAGGAGAGCTCTGAGAGAGGCCTGTGACTGGCCCAAGGTCACCCAGCTGGCTGCATGTGGAGGAGTGAGGAACTAAACACGGTTCTCCAGATTAGAGTCCAGCACTCTTAACCACTACACCAAAATGGCTCCGGAAGGGCTATAAACAGGCTCAGAGCATCCCCCTTTAAAAACAGGCATTCAGATGAATTTAATTAACTGTAATTTAACTGCCCCCTTAAAAATTTAAATGCCCCCAAACAAAAAAAAACACCCTGGCTACAGGCCTGGCTCTGACACCTTAACCTGTTTATTTTAAAGGTTTATTTCTTGCCTTCCCGTCTGTTTAACATCCACAAAAATGTTCTTCAGGAAGCTTATAAAATTCTCTAAGATGCTGCCAGCTTCTTTGTCATTGTTGATGTTTAATATATTGAATAGTTCTTGACACAACATGGAGCTTGGATGGAATAATGCCTGACAGGCTGTCTGATCTGCCAGACGTTTACTTGGAAAGAAGTCCCTTGGAATACGATGGGCCCTGCTCCTAGTGAAGTGAGCGTAGGTTGTGAGGCAGGGATTGTACAATGCAAGGGTCGCCTCCACCATGGACTCATCAGGTGGCCTGAGGCAAGAAAGCCAGTGTTCTTGCAGCTTCAACCTCTACCCTGCATCTTCCTAAATCTGTAATATGAAATTTGTAACAGCTCTGTGTGTGTGTATGTGTGTGTGTATAAAGTGTTATCAGTTTGCAGCCAACTTCTGGCAACCCCAGCGAGGGCTTTCAAGGCAAGTGAGAAGCAGAGGTGGTTCGCCTTTGCCTTCCTCGGCAGTCTTCCTTGGAGGTCTCCAGGGCTTTTTTTGTAGAAAAAGCCCAGCAGGAACTCTTTAGCATAATAGGCCACACCCAACAACAGAAACTCATTAGCATATCCAGCCACACCCATGAGAGCATAGCTCATTAGCATATTAGTCTGCACCCCATGTTACCAGAAGTGTGGCCATCCAGCCACACCCACCTTTTGCTTCTTATTCTGTTTACCTTGTTTGTTGTCAAAACCTAGGGCTTTTTTTGTAGCAGGAACTCCTTTGCATGTTAGGCCACACCCCTAATGTAGCCAATGCTAATGAGTTTCTGCTATTGGGTGTGGCCTATTATGCTAATGAGTCCCTGCTGGGCGTGGTCAACTTGGGAGCCAGCCGGAACTCCGTTCCTGTGCGTTCCTGCCCAAAAATAGCCCTGGAGGTCTCCCATCCAAGTACGGACCCTGCCTAGCTTCCAATATCTGGCTTTACCATGCTGCCTTCCTCTCTGCCAATAGTAGCCTACCTTAAATAAGATAGCCATTTTGAAAAGCACCAGTTCCCCAAACAGCTCCTGAAACAGAAAGGATTTGTATACGCGCATCAGGAAAAAAGATTTCCAGAAGGGAAATGCATAGAGAGCCAGTTTGGTGCAGTGGTTAAGTGCGCGGACTCTAATATGGGAGAACCGGGTTTGATTCCCCACTCCTCCACTTGCACCTTTGGGTAGTGAAGGGCGGGGTATAAATCCAATCTCTTCTCTTCTCTTCTTCTATACAGGCGTGAACTGAAAAGTGAAAATGGCCCAGGAGCAAACCAAGCTGAGCAGCCCCTGAAGGGCTACGAGCTAGTGTAGTGGTTAAAACTGGTGGACTCTAATATGGAGAGCCAGGTTTGATTCCCCACTCCTCCACACGAAGCCTGCTGGGTGACCTTGGGCCAGTCACAGTTCTCTCAGAACTCTGTCAGTCCCGCCTACCTTACCAGGTGCCTGTTGTGGGGAGAGGAAGGGAAGGCGATCGTAAGCCACTTTGAGACTCCTTAAGGTAGAAAAAAGCTGGGTATAAAAATCAACTTTTCTTCTTCTTCTGCACCACAGAAGTCACTTGGTTCAGCGGTGCCAACAAAGGGCTCATTCATTGTTTCCTCCCAGTTTGGTGTAGTGGTTAGGAGCATAGACTGTAATCTGGAGAAGTGGGTTTGATTCCCCAATCCTCCTCCACATGCAGCTGCTGGCGTGACCTTGGGTCTCTTGAGCCGTTCTCACTCAGCCCCACCTACCTCATAGGGTGTCTGTTGTA